TTGGTGGGGGAGTGTGTGGTGGTAAAGAGAGAGTCTGATCTGGGAGTGTGGAGGGAGAAAGCCACCCTCCTAACGCTGCAGATCCCTTTCCCCAGGGTTTTCAGTCAGGAACAAGCTGATCCTTTGGGGCAACAAGGTGCAGGGCTGGATGAACACAGCAGGGCAAGCAGCATCATAGGAGCAGAGAGGCTGACGTTTCGGGCCTGGACCCTTCATCAGAAAAGAGGGAGGGGAAGGGGGCTCTGAAATAAATAGGGAGAGAGTAGGAGGCGGATAGAAGAGGGATAGAGGAGAGGATAGGTGGAGAGGAAACAGACAGGTCGAAGAGGCAGGGATGGAGCCAGTAAAGGTGAGTGTAGGTGGGGAGTTAGGAAGGGGATAGGTCAGTCCAGGGAGGACGGACAGGTCAAAGGGGCGGGATGAGGTTGGTCGGTAGGAAATGGAGGTGCGGCTTGAGGTGGGAGGAGGGGATAGGTGGGAGGAAGAACAGGTTAGGGAGGCGGGGACGAGCTGGACTGGTTTTGGGATGCGGTAGTGGGAGGGCAGATTTTGAAGCTTGTGAAATCCACATTGATACCATTAGGCTGTAGGGTTCCCAAGCGGAATATGAGTTGCTGTTCCTGCAACCTTCGGGTGGCATCGTTGTGGCACTGCAGGAGGCCCAGGACGGACATGTCGTCTGAGGAATGGGAGGGGGAGTTGAAATGGTTCGCGACTGGGAGGTGCAGTTGTTTATTGCGAACCAAGCGTAGGTGTTCTGCAAAGCGGTCCCCGAGCCTCCGCTTGGTTTCCCCGATGTAGAGGAAGCCACACCGGGTACAGCGGATGCAGTATACCACATTGGCAGATGTGCAGGTGAACATCTGCTTGATGTGGAAAGTCTTCTTGGGGCCTGGGATGGGGGCGAGGGAGGAGGTGTGGGGGCAGGTGTAGAACTTCCTGCAGTTGCAGGGAAAAGTGCCGGGTGTGGTGGAGCTGGAGGGGAGTGTGGAGCGGACAAGGGAGTCACGGAGAGAGTTGTCCCCCCGGAAAGCAGATAAGGGTGGGGAGGGAAAGATGTCTTTGGTGGTGGGGTCAGATTGCAGATGGCGGAAGTGTCAGAGGATGATGCGTTGGATCCGGAGGTTGGTGGGGTGGTACGTGAGGACGAGGGGGATTCTTTTTTGGTTCTTATTGCGTGGACGGGGTGTGAGGGATGAGGTGCGGGAGATGTGGGAGACACGGTTGAGGGCGTTCTCGACCACCGAGGGGGGTAAGTTACGGTCCTTGAAAAACGAGGACAACTGAGATGTACGGGAGTGGAATGCCTCATCCTGGGAGCAGATGCGGCGGAGGCGAAGGAATTGGGAACAGGGGATGGCATTTTTGCAGGAAGGTGGGTGGGAGGAGGAGTATTCTAGGTAGCTGTGGGAGTCGGTGGGCTTGAAATGAATATCAGTTTCTAGGTGGTTGCCCGATATGGAGACAGAGAGGTCCAGGAAGGGGAGAGAGGTGTTAGAGATGGTCCAGGTAAACTTAAGGTTGGGGTGGAAGGTGTTGGTGAAGTAGATGAACTGTTCGAGCTCCTCGTGGGAGCACGAGGCGGCGCCGATACAGTCATCAATGTAACGGACGAAGAGGTGGGGTTTAGGGCCGGTGTAGGTACGGAAGAGGGATTGTTCCACGTAACCTACAACGAGGCAGGCGTAGCTTGGGCCCATGCGGGTACCCATGGCTACCCCCTTAGTCTGTAGGAAGTGGGAGGAATTGAAAGAGAAGTTGTTGAGTGTGAGGACAAGTTCGGCTAAGCGGATGAGGGTATCAGTGGAGGGGGACTGGTCGGGCCTGCGGGACAGGAAGAAGCGGAGGGCCTTAAGGCCATCTGCATGGGGAATGCAGGTGTAGAGGGACTGGACGTCCATGGTAAAGATGAGGTGTTGGGGACCGGGGAATTGGAAGTTCTGGAGGAGGTGGAGGGCGTGGGTGGTGTCACGGACATAGGTAGGGAGTTCCTGGACCAGGGGGGAGAAAATGGAGTCTAGATAGTTGGAGGTCAGTTCAGTGGGGCAGGAGCAGGCGGAGACAATGGGTCGACCAGGGCATTCAGGTTTGTGGATTTTGGGAAGGAGATAGAAGCGGGCAGTGCGAGGTTGTGGAACGATGAGGTTGGAGGCCGTGGATGGGAGGTCACCTGAGGTGATGAGGTTGTGGATGGTTTGGGAGATGATGGTTTGATGGTCGGGGGTGGGGTCATGATCAAGGGGGCGGTAGGAGGTGGTGTCGGAGAGTTGGCGTCTGGCCTCGGCGATGTAGAGCTCAGTGCGCCATACTACAACTGCGCCTCCCTTGTCCTCGGGTTTGTCGGAGAGTTGGCGTCTGGCCTCGGTGATGTAGAGGTCAGTGTGCCACACTACAACTGCGCCTCCTTTGGGGCAGTTGAGGTTGACATTCCTTTGCTCTATGGTTATCTGTGAGTTAGACTGGACTGTTTGAATTGTTCATGTGGTCGATCTTTTGTGCCATTTGACACAATCTAGAACTGGCCCAAGAGCGAAAGAATATTTACAATGGTATAGGAATCAGTTCCTACATTTCCAGGAGTACACACAACTTGAACAGTTTCTTCCTCATCACCAAATCATCCATGGTATTTTCTCACGTGTTCAACACCACCAGTAAATCACCCAAGTTTCCCAATTGATTAATTTACTTAAAAAGCCCATTAAAGGCAATGCACACCATCAAAGGAGATGGGGAGGGAGAAAGGGATGGTAAATCAAAATGGAGTTGGAAAGGAAGATAGGAAACCAGTTCTGCAGAATCCGTTGTACTTTGCTTTATTGGCAAATTCTGGCTTTGTTGTTGATGAAATTGTGATTCGCTCTGCAGGTACAGTGTTTTACCATTTGGGTTATTTAAACGCATTGGAGTTCCAGGGCCAAGGCCACTGCCATTCATTGGAACATTTCTACATTATCGAAAGGTACGCTTGTTAGTTTTCTTCGTTCTTGATGATGTCAAGAACTCCACTTTGAACTCTGAGATAACAAGGTGTAGAGCTGGATGAACACAGCAG